TACATGGCTTTATTTCACGTAACGAAGCAGTGGTTTGCAATGACCTTAAAAAGCTGGCACAATCATTAATTGTATGAACAGTTTTAGGTCAGCGGCATTTTGGGCTCTTTTTGTAGAGCATAAACCAACTTGGATCTGCAGCTACAGCAGTCCTAGTACAACTCTAGGAACAAGACTGGTAAATTATATGCTGCTCTCCTTTTGTCTGAACCATAACAAAGTAAAAACTGCAGCAGCATCGATTTATGTACCTGTACATTACCTCCAGAAATAATGCATGTTCACAGGATAAAATCTGGCTAACGTTCCTATCCAGGCCATAACAGCTTTAAATTGTCTGATTCAAGGCCAAAAAAGAAAAAAAATAGGACTGCTTATTTTTACCTTTAAGTGCTTTTGATATCGGAAATGAAAGTCTTGCAATTGTCTCACTCACAAAGTGACAACATTTGAAAGATGGGGAAGAGCAGGGTGCTACACATCTCAGTAGACCCACTAAATCAACACTCAGTAAGCAGTGCTCCCTCTAAGCTGTGTGCTTGTGCGTCTGCTCAGGAGAGATTCACATGCCGTCCAACTGATTAGCAGAGAGCCCACTACTAGGATTTTTGTTTCTATTGGTGGTGCACATTTGCACATGCCTCAATGCACATAAAAATATTCTACATATGGCTGGAAAAAATTGGCACATGTATGGAAAAGATTAGAGGGAACATTGCTACACAGGGGAACTGCGGGAGGGGGGGAGAGTGGGGACAAACACCACAGCAATTAAACTAATATTTTTATTAAAACAAGGTTATTTTCCCTCCAACATACAGGAAAAATGGAATATGCATACATCCCTGGTTTGACAGGTTATTGCTGAACAATAACCTTCAAATTACAAAGCCTCAACTATTATTAGTGAATAAGCTGACTCACCCAGACAACAAACCTTCAAAACACATGGACTACTGAAAGGTTATCACTAATGAGTAAGGCCTGTTAGCTCACTGGACAAGAGATGCTTTCCCATTTTTAGAAGGGTACACTCAGTGGCCTGTAAGTCTGATAGCAGCTCAGTAAGACTCACTCCCAGGTCTCAGTGAGATCTGCCCATTTCAGAACATAGTTTACACAGTCTGTTATGAAAGAATGGGCTCCCCCTCACCTGCCCTAACATGAATACAAACCCAGTAGATACATAACCCTTAACCACAAATTAAACAGAAAGCTTACAAAGGATTTCACTTTATCCCAGATTTCTCATAAAGCCAATGGGAGGAGTCAGCAGTTGACAATTAATCTTCTGGTATTTCTTGGCATTCGTAGACTTTTCTGCACTGTGCAAAACACTAGCAATTAGCTACTCAGAAATAAAGAGTGTTGTGAAGATGTACTGCTATTTCTTGAAAATAGCTTTGACAGGAAAAAAAAAATTAATTTCTGCCCCACAGAAAAGAAAAATCCCTGGTTATTATTGCTACTGCTTAGAAGCAGCTCTTCTACCCACCTATTGTGTGAAGTGGCTTTTAAAGCCCCAAAACACTGAAACTGATTAATGCAAAGCTGTTGCAAAACTTTAGATTAATGTGGGTTTAGAACAATTGTACTACTAATAAAAAAATCCATGGAAAAACAATTCCGTTCACTCCTGGTTTTATAAAAGAGGAAGGATGGTCTTGTGGTTAAGGCTGGCCTGGGAATTAGGAATTCTGGGTCCTGTTTCCCAGCTGTGGTACAGACTTCCTGTGATCCCCTAGTCCCCAGGGGGACAGTGGGGATGAGTGCACTCTGTGCTTCACAGGAGACACAATGATGGTGACTGCAATAGAGATGTCTCTGAGTAAGTGAATAAATAGAAAATGTGAAACTCTGATTTTTTTAAGACCTAAATTTTGGGCCAAGTTTGACCAGAGACGATGAATATGCTAAACTGTCTGATATCAAAAGAGATGAGAGTGAGTGGACTTAAAAAAAGGCAGCCTGCTTGGTGTAAGAGAAGAACCAAAAATACTCTCATTGAAACAATGGGTCAATCAGAGTATATAACAGACTATCCTACTCAGTCTGGACTGCAGCCCTGTGAAATAAGATGGTGTTTGACCTCATAAACATGGCCTCAGAATTACCTCTGAAACTGCTTACCAAGCAGGAAATGATTATTTCAATATCTCATGAAGAGTCTAACTGTGTGCCAAGAAAAGTATACACAAAACCAGTCTCTGATTGCAAATCACACATGGTTGGGACCCACAATATTTGAGAGATGGGAGGTAGCACCCTACATGTGCTTGAGGATTGAGGGGGAGCAACACCTGACAGATGAGAACGTTTATTATGACGAAAACTGTTGGGCCAACAATATTTACTTGCACCCATTTTCTGAGGTCATCTTCATAGTGCAAACTTAATTTAAATAAACTGAAAAAACAACAAACAGTCTCTTAGTCTTTATAGACTAACAAAACATGTAGATGGTATCATGAGCTTTTGTGGGCTCGACAATTCTGGTGCAGCTCTTCGCATTTTTTCCGCTGCTGTTTCAGCTTCCTTTGTTAATATACCAGGGGTATATTATAACTAATGTCACCACAGATAACCCTCGGGTAACCCAAGAGACCTGAGAATTGGTTTGGCTATAAATCATTCTTGTATTAGATAAGAAGAATGGCTAGGAGTGTTTTCTATGGGAATGAAGGTTTGTTTTCTTTCTCTTTTCAAAACCCTTACAATGGTTTTATAGCTATGTGTTTTTTTTAATCAAAAGAACAGAAGAGTTTTCTTTTTCTTTTTTTAAGATTTACTCAGCATTGCTCAGACCTTACCTCAATTAAATTTGTTTAAAATATGCATGCTTCATTTAAATCATTGTTCTGGGGGTAGGGCTGGGGATGAGGGGTTCGGTATGCAGGCTACCCTGGAGAGAGAGGACTACTCCAGTTCTCTCCCAACGCAGCATCTTGGGGCCAGGTAAGAAGCATCTCTCCATGGCTGCTGCAGTTCCAGAGGGCTTAGCAAAGGGAGAGGTGCATGACCCCAGCTGGGGCAGATTCAGGTTCATCTGACCCCTGTGCACTCCCCAGCCAGAGTGATGAATGTAGCAAACTGTGCATTTCCCCCTAGCTCTCTGAAGAAGGGGAACAGCCAGTAATGTTCACATACAATTTGGGGGGAGAGACTTCAGCTCCCTCCACCTTATCTAAAGGGCACCTGAAGGGTGGGAGGTTCGGGGCTTGGGCAGTGTTTTGGGCAGGCCTCTAGCCAGCCCCTTTCACTTGCCTTGGTGCATTGTCTCTTTTCTGTATGGTTTTCTGGAAAGCAATCCCATTTTCAACTAACAAGCACAGGCACATCCCGTTTTCCTAGCACAATCAAACCCTTTGCTTGCTTTTAGTTATGATAAGATGAAGCTGTATACCAAATTTGGTGGTTAGCTCTTGCAGGAGGCGTTCTTGAACAAACAGACAGACAAAACTCTCACATATATATTAGATTTACATATACGACATTCCAAAATCAATTTGATGAAATTTACCTTAAAACTAACTTAAAATATCCAACAATTTTTTATCTTGCCTTTATAAACATCTCACTGAAATACGCCACAGAATTTGGTTTGCAGTCTTAACAACTTGGGACCTAATCCTGCAACCATTTATGCCTATGAGTAGACCAATCAAAATTAAATATTGGCATAAATATTTACTGGATTGGGGCCCACTCTATTTACTATTGAACTGAAACTGGAGTTTTTATACACACACTCTCTCTCTCCATATACCTGATGTTATGGAAGTCACTCCTACTGAGCTGTAATAATGTTAACAAATGCCCGAGAATAACTGAACCTTACATCCATCAAACTATATGAAAATGTAAAAGAAGTGCTTTTAAAAATGTTCACAGGAATTACTTTCCATCATCCTGTGGGGAAATTTATTGCAATTGGGGGAGGAAAGAAATGCAAGTAAGACTCCCTGGCCTCTGAAAAGAATCTGATCTCCTGGAGCTGCAAGAGACTCAACGGAGAGGAATGCAGCAGCAGGGTTTTATGTTGGCAGGAACCACCTTCTCAGAAGAAGCAGCACTGCCCCTGCACATTGATAGTTATGATCTCATTAAGCCACCACAGGGGCAAGTCTATAGATTGCATTTGCATTGTGTGTTGTTAAGGTTATAATCAAATTAAAATAGCGTTTGGTAATTCTGGTCATGAAAGACACGTACAGAAAACATTCACCTGCTCAGACATGTCAGGTCTCGCTTGCAGTAAAGCTTGCTCCTTTGGCACTTGTTCTAAGGCAGCTTCTAAAATCTCCCTCTTGCTATTAGAGACTTGGAGCCTGTGGTTTAAGGAACTATTCAAAGTCTCATTCCAATTTCTCCACTTGTACATCATGTGAATTGTCACACATGGTTTGCCCCCCACATGGCACTTTCATGACTACTGCCTGGAGATGCCATTCTTTAGAGGCAAGCTTTCATGACTGTACTTCAAGGACCTGAACTAGAAGCTTATAAAGTGCCCATCATATGTTTTTTCACTGAAATGCATGCAGTTAAAGGACCCTCATATGTCCGTTCAATTACTGACTTTGCAGTGTGTTTTCACATTATAATAATGTCCCAGAGTTCTTATTTTACTACAAAATCATGGCCTGCTTTATTC